CTGAAAATTAATTTTCAGCAGAAAAAGAATTTTGTTCGTTCAAATTTCACTTCTCGTTTGAAATATTTTATTTGAATTGCAAATTGGTAGTGATATGGAAAGGTACTGATTGTTTCCACTCTAATTCCCACTGACGCATTAATTGGCCTTTTGTATCCTTAATTAAGTCTTCCGCGAACAGATCGATATCGAGAAATGAGTGGAAAGAAGAGAACCAAAAAATCTAGATCAACTTCGTGTCAATGTCGTAGAAGCGTGGGATAATATACCAGTGGAACATTGTCGTTTAATACGGTACCAAAACTATGGTACACTGTTATGCAAATAAAATCAATTTAACATATAGTTGTATGATACTAAATGTGTATGAATTATTAATCTCACATACGTAGAATCGTTTTTATGCGATACGAGTGGACTTTATTGTCGAAACCATCAAGCAATTTTAAGTACATGATAGCTACTCTATATTCATTATCTTTAAACATTTAAACAAATGTTTCAAATAAATCTCAAAGAAAATTAAATTCGACATAAAAAGAATGGTATATCCTACTCTACTAAAGTAAATATTGTTTTGCTTAAATAACTATCGTAATACATTCGTTTCTGTTAATCTTTTTGTTAGGATTATAATTTTTCCAAACAATCAGTATGGTTAGAAATAATTCAAGATCGATCAACAAGAAGTGTAATTATTTCTAACCATACTAATGATGATATTGGCTAAGTAAAACGAATAATCGTAAAATAATTTGTAAATACTTTATTCGAAGTAAATGCAAAGTAGACAAATATTTTAAAAAACGGTACCTACGAACGTTGAATTTTTATATCCAGTTATGTAAAAAAAACGAATTCTTTTCTCCCAGCGTTCTGCATGGTTATTTGATATAGTGCTTCATCTTGCACAAGTGATTTATAATGTCACGTATGGTTTGCTCGCGCGCGGAATACAAATATGTGACGGGAAAACGGAAACCGGGGGCCGTGCGTGCAACGGTGGCTTGTCGATCTTTTTGTTTGATGCGTTATTTTCTTGGACGCTGGCCTTGAGTAACGGGGCAATATGCGAGAGAGGTAAAAGTGGGGTAGTGAACTTGCCTGTTGCCACTAAACTAGTTATCCAAGAATGTAATAAGCGGACACCGCGTCGTGGAAATCGCATGACACGCATGGACACACATCGGACACGGTCATTGCTCAATGTTGCATGTCCTCCTATAAGCAAGATTTTGTTTTAAGCTAACTCACCGCCACACGTCACCGCTATTAAACGACCGTTGATCGCCTCGAAGTATCGATGGGCTGTCCCTTGGACTGTCGCGCTACTGTTTACACGCACGGTGTTTAAAGTTCTAGTTTACGGATAATTGCATCTAACGCGGGAAACGTCAGGTGTAATTTCGAAGTCGCAACGCAAGGTTCCCAGACCTGTAACCGATCATGGAATTCGAACCATTTCAAGGCCTCGTGCACGAAGCAGTAAAACTCGAGGAGTCTCGAAACTTTTGCAAGAGTATTGCACGTCTTAAAATTATCTTCGTACGAAGGTACGTCCAACCTTGGAACCTTTTGATTTTGTTTTTGCCTTCCTTAAATGGCGGAGAAAATTAACTTGTTAGGAGATGGAAATTTGTGTTGTAGAAATAAATAGTAACAAGAAGCGGAGGTTACGTTCGAAATTTGTTAAATCGTTAATCAACTAGTGGGAAAAATTCTCCTTGCCGCAAAAAGTGGAATAGATTGAGTTACATACTGAAAGAAACTTTGAGATCTCGTGCGTAGCCATCTTTGCATCGCTTGAATGACCTGAGAGATCGCAGAGAGAGGTCCGGCCATTTTTTAAACGATCTATCCACTCGTAGATCTTACTTCGACTTAAACAACTATCACCGTACTGCTGCTTCGTTTTCAGAGAAGTAATATTCTCTACAGGTTTCACCTACTTCGAACGAAGGAAATGTATTCAAGTTTCTATGAGAATTTAATTTTCTTATTAATTAAATAAGAATATTTTATTAGAATTGTGAAGAATAATTTGTTCTTTGGTGCAGACAAAGGGCTATTTATTAACTTTATTATGAACATTGAGTGTGATAAAAATGAATTACACACGAAAAATAAAGTCGAAACGTCTTGCTAAAGAAAATTAACTTTTTATTCGATATTTAGGTGGATTGATTCATGTTTCATAGCGATTCAACGTTGGTAATCTTTACCGCTTCGTCAGCGTTTCAGGAACATTCAATCCAGCAGTGGTGCACAACCTTTTTTAATAGTAGGTCAAATAAAATTGAATGACATTTTCTATATGTAAAATTTCAAATTGGAACGGACTGAACTATTGCATTGTATAAAATTATTCCAAGTTTCTGTTTATATATGTCTTTCAAGAAAAGGGGCCTAGAGGTTAAACCAACTTTTCCAGTGAAACGGGTTTAAAGTCTTAGATACGTTTCATGATGTTCGTATTGATAACACTGCTTACGTTCCATTAATGCATTATTGGTCCGAGATTCAATATGTTGTGTACTTCGCAATTAAAATTAAAACTATGTTGGTCTAATAATATTTATTTTTGTATCGTTTTATTTAACACAAAAATAAAAAATTGGATCTTGTACAAAGATCTTTTCACCTACGCAAGTTTTCAAGATTTTTGATCCATAAACCTCCTTTTTTTAGAAACAGGTCAACTTTTTTTAATACTAGGTATTTGGGCTACTCTTTACCTATAATCGTATTAGGGTATGATTTTGGATCACGTATCAAGTTTAAGTAACTGTAAATAAACTTGTACAGTAACTACAGTTACTCAAACGTGGAAACTGGCCCAAATTTTACTCCAGTACGATAAGGATTCAAGAATAAAGTAAACATTAAAAAAATAAGCCATCGTTTCTTTGTCGTAACTGACAATCGATGACAGGACAGAAAACTGTCCACCATTGACGCACTGTCGATCATTGGCGCGACTACCTGACACTTCCATTCTTATTTTCTAAATTGTTTAACTCCTGTTTAGCTTCGTTTTTCTGGCGTCGACGAAAGGGTAAAGCCCTTGGAAAGTATATCTGTCGATTAAAAATAAATCGAAATATTTATTTTTATATCGAACGATGAAGAACGCTCGATGCAGCTCGCGTCGTATCTAACGTTCCTGCTAAGACGCGGCATTATTTGCCTGCCGTGACCTCAATTAATCCGCCGGCAAAGAGGCGAACTTGTGAAACTGCGTTAGTGCCATTTACTGCATCCTGACATGCCCAATCCTCCGGCGCTGATCTCACACACTCGTGGTCAGCAACAAACCGTGACTGGCAAGCGAGCGTCGAGCTCGCGCGTCGCGGTGAATGCTAAGAAATCGCTGGGAATCAGAATCAAGTTTCGATGACGAAAGTGAGCATCGACGGGATCCGCCACGAGGGGAAGGAATGTCGTCTTGGCACCGGGAGCCGCGTTAAAGTGCCGACATCTGGAAAAGAGACGCGCTCGTACGCCGACCAGCCAGCCATTACGTGCCCGCGAAACGTAAACAGTCATAGGAATGATGGATTTTGTAAATAACAGTTACCACTTTGTGAAACGTCCTATTACGTATTCCGCCTGTTCCGCGTTTATCGATACGAAATCGCGACGCGACGGTTTCCCTGGAAAGAGAATCGTAGTATGCACGGGATGTATCCGAACTGCTCGATCAAACTTTGTCAAACTACATCAAACATTCGACTGTAGCCTCCCTACGTGTCGTGGACTCCGATAATTAATGCTACAGGTTCTTCAAATTGTCGCGAATACACTGTACAATTTAGTAAACTTTGTCATACCACGTCAAACGCTCAGAGGTAATTATGAATTACTGTTCTTTGTGTTAAAATACTCTGTTTCTTGGAATCGTTAGCAGAATCTGTTTCTCCTATAATAGCTGAAATATCTATTTATCTTTCAAGTTGTCACACTTTTATTGCCAGTTATTATTTCAAATCGAATTATTACAATTCACACGCTTCTCTCTTACTTTTAAATTCACGTTTCGTTCATTCACCTATTCAAGTTTGCTCATATTTGTATTATTTCCTATCGCTATTCAGAGAATATTAAAAATTGTTGATATTATTCGATAGAGAAATATTTGTAATCCTTCGAATTAACTCTGAAATGATTTATCCTCTAATAAAAGTGTCAGTTTTATACTTAGAATTGTTCAATGAACAGCGACAAATTGCGTCGTAATTAATTTAGACACAAGCTTTCACGATTACCGGTTGAATGAAATATTTCTACAGTGACGAGACTTTCACGTTGCACGTGGAATGGAATCGCGAATACTTGCAATCAGTTTGCGCATTTCCTGCAAGTAGTAAAGTCAATGATATGTCAGCCGTAACGCAACAGGTGAAGTAGTAAACGACAGTATATGGTCAGACTAAATCAGTAGTAAGTGACGGGTCGGACAGCGTGCTTATTGGATATACGCAACACATTCATGAAATGACTATTGCAGCTGTTTGCTTTACTCGAAGTACTTCATCTTCAGTAATATATTATGAAATTGTTATTACAAAATGATACTGTCGTATTTACGTGTACACGTAATTCGAAACTGAATGCTTGTCATTTTCTCTTACGCTGTCGATGATATAATATTAGAAGCATTGTAGAAACAAAATTATAAATTTTTACAAAAAAAATAATTGTCTAAAAATAAACATTGCAATGAACGAGTGAAAGTAAAATGTAATGATACGAACCAAAGTCCAATTCTATGACTGTGTTTTAGAACTCTATATTCTTATATATTATTCAATGTTTCCATATGTAACGTATTAGCCTAAGTTGTCGAAGTTCGAAGAAAGAATTTCACTTGGCACTAACATGTTCAAATAAAACGTGTTGAATCTCGATTGTACCGACGTTTCAGAGTTACGAGAGTTAGATTTTCTACCTTGGGCGTTTCTTCCTTACGATTAATAATGAATCATTCTTTTTCCTTGCAGAGTAGAACGAGCACGCTGGACTACAGGACGAATGTCACAAGGATGATGAGTTCTATGCAAACACAGCTACCCGGATCCTTGCACGATTACCAAGTCGACCCTTACCGACTTCTCGAAGACGACCTGAAGGACATTTACGACGATGTACGAGAGGTCAGTCTATCGTAATTATCCACGATGAAATAATAATAATAGTAATCTTTATAGGTCACACAATAGCGTCATCGTTTCATTCCTTGTATCGAATAAACTCGTATACAGAGTGAACCAAGTAAAAACTGTCAGGAGCTACTTTCCTGGGAATCGTTGATGATATGAAGAAATTCTTTTTTTTTTTTTAATATTGTAACGCGAAAAAAAAATTATGTCGACGTCACTAATGGTTCTCAAGGAAACAGTTTGTAACAATTCACACTGTTCACCCTGTACGTTTCGCCAATGCACTTTCTAGAAAGAAATGTCTATTTCTACACGTAAGGACCAGTTCAATTACGTGGAAAAATGTGGATGTCGAATTCCACGCATAGAGGGGTATCATGCACTTTTTACAGTTCCATAGAAGGTAGTCTCGACTAGAATCACGTTTCCAAAAGATAGGAATGAAAAAATGTAATGTAAATGATAGTGGCATATTTCTAACTGCGAATGTTACGAAATTTTCGTAATACTTTTTTCGACCCGTATTAAAGAACGAGTATGTAGATGAATCGTTGTGTTTACCCGATGCACTTGGTAATGTAAACTTGTATATTTTTGTATATACAGAAGCATTCATTGTTCATTCTTATATTTAAAATTACAAGGTACATGAATTATTAAAATTGATATGACAATTCAGAAGTAAAAATGTGATTTGAAAAGTACAATTGAAACTAAAAGTCTTATAGAAATTTTTCGAAGCATTTAAACATTTCGAAATTTTAATTCCTATTAGTAAACATTTACTAAAAGCTCGAATATTTAAAAACAGTGGTTCGATTGTTCAGGCAAACTTGTATTCTCCTTCTGAAAATACAGTACACAGCTTGTAACGTATCTGATGTAATACTACGGAATGTCGTTATAATCTCTTTCATATCATGTATCGTCGGTTCGTGAGTAAAAACTTTTTCTGTTGCGTAATCCCATGAAAAGAAATCTAACGGAAAAAAATGGATTCACGTAACATTTTTCTTTCTGTCTGCCGACAAAAACTAACTTAGCGATTGTAGTAATTTCTTTCTAACTGGTCTGTTGGACACGTGTAATAGAAATGGACGTAGACATAAATCAATACCAGTCAAGGTATCTGTATATTATCGCTAATGATTAATTTTGTTATTTAATTCAACCTTAGAACATCAACAAAATTGTATTGCATCCAACAGTCGTATACACCCGTTCACCATTTTCTGTATGATAACATACATATTGTGTTTGTTTCTAATATTCAATCGAAACATTTCTTTACGTATACCCTTATAATCTCTAAAATTTAAAAAAACTAGCCCTGCAATTTCAAATCCGTGATGGTTTAAGAAAGTTGCATCGATTTCAAAAGACGTTGGGTTAAAAACAAGAATTTATTTTTGGCTAAAGTATCGTTTAAATAAAATTAATTTCTAATTTCTGCCCATCGATACGTTCCACGAACAAAAATGAGAAAGATAAAAATGGCGTAGGAAGTTGAGCGCGAGTCGGTTCGGAGCGACACTCGAACCACGCGTTGAAATTACTTTCTTGCTGCCATTTTCGGTGCAGCGCACGTCGATTCGTCTCGAATCGCCAAGTAGTTCCGTCAGGTGATTCGAACAGGAAGAGGTGGACCAGATCCGGAAGGAAAGACCGCAAAAGCGTTGGTGTCGTCGGTGTAACCCCCCGTTGGATGGCATCGCGAATCGAATTCATCGATTTGCGTCATCGCGGCTTTCGTTGTTACGAGACTTCTGGTCGCCAGAATTTCTTCGTTTTTCCCCCTCCCCCCCTGCCGTTTCGTCTTTTTCGTCTGTTTCTCCTCTGGTTTCTAGCCGATAGGACGCTCGTCCGCGTAATTGTAAATATTTATGGCGAGGAATGCCGTTTTCACGACGAGGCGCCTCCTCTTAAGGCGGTTCGCGCGCGTTAGCGAAAGCAGCCATCGACTTCATGGTCTGCATATATGGCCGAGAGTAGAACTTTTACTCACGGTCGCGTACGGAGTACAATTGTATTTGCGTATGCGCGTGCAAACGCGTTTAGAAAGCACTTTTCTCGTTGCACCATGGAACGCGATAACGCGGATCGTCACGCGCATTACGTGTCATCGGTGGGGCGCGAGCTGGCGTCCTCGGTTAATTAGCTCGAGAATGCCGCCGTGTCGCGAATGGAACAACTGCACGCGCGAATACATTGTTGCTGTAATTGTGAGAACAGGACCCTCGGATTTGTAAGGATGCGTGACTCACAAATTCGTTCACGCGTCCTGGGCATAGTCCGTTTTTAGAGTCCACGGTCAGCTTTGTTTACTCGGAAACCGTAAAACAGAGGTTACAAGTACCGACGTTATTTATAGAAGGGATTATGTTTTATTTTTGAAAAAGAACCCACAGTTTGTACATACATGTGGCGGGTTGAGAGACACCGTGATGTAAATCACATTTTAACTGTTCTACGTAAAATGATGTTTGGCGTTCGTTGTTTAAAAAAGATCCAGACACGTATTAAAGTTACAAAAACCCTTCTACAAACTCAGAAACGTGTTATAAAAATTGAAGGATGTTTAAATTCTGGAGTGATATTTCGGAAACATATCAATTAGTGAAAATTTAATAATGAATACACTTTTTAATGAATAATAATTTTTAACGTACGATATAATATGTATAATATAACGCATAATATAATATGTTCTCTAATTTTTATGTAGAAGTATTAACAATAAAGCGTAAGGTGGACTTACACCGTTATGGTTCGAAATGCTTTGGTAACTTTGTTTAGTATCAAACAAAATTTTCGCCATTTCTCAGCAAAGTATGAATTTACAAGTAAGTCGATTTTTATGATAAATAGAAGAGAGCTTGCTCTCAACTCCAATGTTAACTCAAATTTGAAGAATTTGGCTTACACCACTAGGGCTCTCAACCCGCCATATGTGTCTACTGTAATTAATTTGATTTTGAACACTAATATTTGAAATTAATAATTGCAAGAATGTAATTTAAATCAAAATTGGAAGTTTTCTTTTGAAAAAAAAAATGAAATGGAATTCTGGGACGAGGGCGTGCCTAATTATAGATCATAGTTTTGAATTTGCTGACTCCAACCTGTGAAAAGAATGCGACTTTTCACTTCGCTCTACTTTCCTCAGACTCCCAGACAAATATTAGATTTAATATTCCAAGCTATCGCTGTGTTGAAGCCCATTAAAAAGTAAACATCACACTCGAGGACATCTGCTCGTTAGAACAGCCAGGGGTGGATCTAGATAAGGGGCAATGGGAAATATATTTAAAAAAAAAATATATTTATTATTCTTCCTCATAATGACTGCAAACATATTATACATGATGTCAACTGCAATTATTTGCCGAGTAAATACGAACTTACTAATTTTTTTAAGTCTCTCACCACTTGTGCTACCGATTTGCTCGCCAAATGTTAAAATTATTAAAAACATAAATGACACGTCTTTCGTAGATAATTCAATATCCTTCAATTTTGATAATAACTATTTTATCTATCAAATTAATCACAAGATATTGGTAAACAACCACAAAGCTGTACTTATTTTCCTAGATGGTGGCGATTTCTCAATTCTGACCCTACAGAACCTTGTACATTTCAAAACTTTCCTGTTTATTCTTTTTGTTTGTTGGATCGGAATCTTCGTTAAGTTATCGCGCGTATGTACAGTCAGTAAGGACGTTCGATCAAGTTGGCCTAAGTGCATCGGTTTCGTCGCTTCCGACCACGTGAACGAGACTATACGGAAAGCGTTTCTGACGTAAGCTCATGAATCGAGCTACTAACGAGCGTTCCTTTCGACTTTGGCCAAATTCCAGGACGAACTTTCAGCGAGTGTCACGGCTAGAATTCAAAGCGATCCACGCGATCGACGTTGCTACTTCGATCGCGCTTGCAACCGACAACCATTCGTCACGTATGTTAATCATCATCAGATTATGGTCATCGATTGTCTATGCGCGAGCAGCGAGTGATAAATTGGCTTAGAATAAAATATGTAACGCCTGCATTGAATCGAAATAATACATCGGTTGTTCTAATTCGTACGAGCATAGCGGGTGGAACGGTATATTGATTATTATAGTTCAGTGTTCCTTATACCGATCCCTCCCGCGTAATATCTCACTCGGAGAATCTTTTTACCTATTGTCAGCGATTCAATATCAACTACGTTCGTTAAGAATTCGATAGATTTCTCCTTACGATAAGAAATTCGAAACTAGTTACTGCTACTCATAATTCATACCTCATGAAAAAATTGAAACACAAAGCTACGAGGACTAGTCTTATTTGAGCACAATTAACACTTATCTTATTCTTAACCTAGAAAGAGCACATAAATCTTTCATATTCTCGAGCAGTTCTCTTCGAACCTAACACCTAAAATACCCTTTTTCTTTATTTTGCATAATTTATGACTCGTCGCATACAGAAATAATTGTTGCTAAGGAAACTTCAAGCTCTACCGTCGCCATTAATTTTACACGTTGCGCAAATCTTTCTCACTTTAATCTAAATATTAGCCATTTTTCAAATAAATATGTGTAATTTTCATTAACTTCTTTGTACCCTTAAAACAAAAATACCTGAAATAATTACATAGGGAACGATTAGAATTTTTTGGTAGATCCAAGGTACAAAACTGATAGCGAAATTAGCTTCTTTCAAAATGGTGGGAAAATAACGCGCAGCATTTGACGAGGAAATGATACTGCAGACATTAATTTTTTCATTAGAGGATGGCACACAAACGCTTGGCGCTTTTTCTAATAACAATGAGAATTCCGTTTCACCGTTCGAAGTCAAGGTTACGTTTGCCATTGTTCCAGGTACTCATCAGGAACACCACGCAGAAGGAGCTGCAAACTATAGCGACGTACTACTTTGACGGGAAGGGAAAGGCAGTGCGGCCGATGGTAGCAATTCTCATGGCACGGGCTATCAATTACCACAAGGAAAGAAAGTGAGTTGTGAGAGGCACGCCTGTGCAGATTCTTTCAAGTTCGCCGTCGATAAATTTTTACGTTTTACGGCGATTAAGAAATTTATTGTCCATTCGAGTACTCCCTTCGTTCTGATCGTTTTGCGTCGTCGAAGCGTAGATTGGCCTCTAAACGCGTCGACGAGACGCCGTAATTGTCTCACGCGGTAATTACCTATTTAGAAAGGTCTGAAGGACGTGGCGGGATATATCATAGATGCGTGTGATAACACGTCGACCATTCAACATACGTTCTACGTCGAGTGGATCACCGGTGACCCACGAAGGGGAGACTATTATAAATTATAAAATTGTATACAGACAATACCATTGAATTCGGAATCATCGCGTTATGGGTCACTGGAGACCCACGAAGTATTCTTTATTTCGATCGATCTCTAGAAGAAACTTCCCTCAAAACAGCGCGAAATTTAAAACTAGTCAAAGAATTCAAAACTATTCTAGACTGTAGAAATCGTAATAGAAAAACGTATTTTATTTTATTTTTGCATTATATAAATACAAATAAAATTATTTAATAGTAAATAATTATTTCATGATGGAATAGGAGGTTTCTGCATGAGATTAGTAACGAAACACATTAGTTTTCAACAGTTATCGGATAGAAATTGTATTCGAGTTCCCTGCCTCATTGGTATACTAAAGGTAAATAGAAATCTAACGATAATGGAAACAAAGTAAAACGAAGGTGTGCACGCGATTCGTTAATACGAGAAAAGAATAGCCTTGCAACGTTTAGAAAGCATCGAAAGAATGCGACGCGTCGGGACGGTCGGTTTCAAATTCATCAATCGCTTTGAAAGCAATTACCCGTCGTGCGCGAATCGACGTCGTTGAATATGAATGAGAATGTTCGGTGAATGAGAACTAGTGTACGCTGTCGCATATGCTCGACGAATTGTAAATAGTAGTAAGCATGACGTCGCGATTCAAACCGCGATGGCAATGAGATAATCTCACGAGTGACGAGAGACGTCGAATTTTCTGTCATCGACCAATATGCAGAATTTGTCGTTCGCCAGGGACACGTGTCTCTTGTAACAATATTGGAACGGCTATAACATTTTATTTTATTTAGACAAGGGAAGATAAACAAGCACAAGATAATAAAAATATTATTAATCCATGGTTGTCACTCTACAATTGGAACCCCTTTTTATAATAGTCAAATACTCTACAAAACCATCGCCAAAAATAATTATTTAAATTATTATGTTAGTTCTAGTCTTGTTTCACAATAGAAATGACACGTTATTTAATTATATTGTAGGCTTGTCAGAAACAATAGAACCTATGGTAACAATTAGCCTGAACATTAAATATAATTACATAACATTTTGAAGTTAGAACGAGTAAAAGAATTTACTAGACAGTTAGCACCAACCATAGTTACTCACGGGTGCCGTATCTTCTAAGTTTATGGGGATGAAGAATAATAATAATTGAACTAAATAGTATACTTATCGGTATTATAAATAACTGATGTCTAGATGTCAGTCTTAAGTAACCTGCTGACAGTAAACTAAATATTTTGATCTGTATCTTAATAAGTATGTTATTCGATTAGTGTCATCACTGACTGGTATTCTCAATCTTATTAATCTCTACTCACGTTCGTGATCGATAAACGACGGAGAGACTACGGTGAAATCTTGCATAAATCAATCGCGAACCATTATATTTATCGATACTTTTCTTTTCGAGCTGTTCCTATTCGTCCTTTCTCTTCCAATCGCGAATCAGCGATCTTCACACCTATCGAACGCGGGGGCGTGCGATCAACGATTAAACGATAGAAATCGTTCCGTTTCAGCGATCTCTTGGCATCGCAGCGACAGGTGGCGATGATTTCCGAGATGATCCACAACGCCTCGTTAGTGCACGACGACGTAATCGATCAGCCTGACTTCCGCCGCGGTAAACCTTCGGTCAACGTTGTCTGGAGCCAAAAAAAGGTAAGGTCTGCCTCGTTTTTGGTCAAAGTCTGCGCGAGCATCCGAAGTTCAACGAATTTGAAATATCAACGATTTATTTAACGATCCACGTCGATGACGAAGTTCTTCTTGGGAACTGGTATACCTTGAAGGATCCAAAAATAAAGAAAGAAGTTCACGGAACGTCCGGATTTCTGCGTACACAGTCGCCCATACATATTTGAACACTTGGTGGGATGTGATCGTTAGGCTTTTCTGAGCATTGTCTTTATCCGTACGAAACTTCATCATGGTTGTTTTATAAATCTTTTAGAAAAGAGTACGTTCATCCACTTTAAACGCGCAGCACGTTGTTTTATTCCCATTTTCCATAGTACTATGTTCTCGTATTTTTCTACATAACATCATCTTATCGTTCATCTAATGTTCGAATGAGATCATAAGATAAAGATTAAGCCGGCATGGATTGTGAAACAGCCATATTCGTTGAATCTCGCATTTTCATCTTGCTTCTATAAAATGCAATGTTTCCTGTAATTCTGTTATTATTTTTGTTCTTTTAATACGGTGTTGTTAACCTTCTATAACCAGTTTACCATGAATAACCTCACGTAACTCTGAAGTCACCTTTACTTGCACTGTAATTATAAAGTAACTCTATATTTTTGTTAAATACAGATGGTATTTTGTTTTGACAAAAATTATAGGCTACTTAATTTATCAATTATAACCTGTGCATCAAATTCTTATAAAATTTATATGAACATAAATTTAAAAAAAAAATCATATTATTTCAATAAAATTTGTGAAATGAATCGCATTATTTAAATAGAAAATTAATAAAAATTGGCACGTAAATAAGGATTCTAAAAATAAATGTAAACGTCGAAACAGACAGATAATTCTCAAGGTGAAATTGGCAGACCGTCGAATACCCGGAGCCGCGATTTTTTCTATCCATTCTGTTTCTCTATTTAATAAACGTTCGTGTTCGATCTTCATTCGCCTCAGTGTCGAGTCGCTCATGTTTATTCGATCGTCGGTCATCATCGACATCTGGGATTTCTTTCGCACGATGCACCGTGAATTTCGATACAGTCTCGATCGCCCGTCGCGTCGATCGATGAAGACTAAAAACTCTCTCTGAAATACCGGAGAAGGAAAGAGGCTAATGCGATTCACGGAGCCGCGCGACGCTGACCGTGCACGCTTTCTTGGCCTGGAACCGGAAACGGATCCACGTTTGGTCTGACGTTGCCGCGCCGCCACGCTTGACGTGATTTCGAAAAGGCGAATCGCTGAAACGACCACCATGTAGGAAAAAAATCTGCTGCACGCGTTAACGTTTTATCCTATAAACAGGAAAGACGTTTCTGAATACCAGGTGACTCGCCATACACTGTGGAATAAGGAGATAACACGCCTTGAAGTATTGTTATTTATTATGTCAATGGCTTACGGTTATATTCTGTCCTCCTTAGCTAAAATGTTTTGTCAATTTTTCGTTTTTCTCTGTTTCCACCTTTTAAGTAAATTTAAGTAGTTATTTTTAACGCATCATTGTGACGGAATGGTAACACAGTTTCAGAATTTTCTACCTTGAAGTTAAATCATCTGACTAATGTTACCGTTGTGTTAAAAGAAAAATCAATACGAGTCGTGAAAAAATATTAAACGCCAGTGAAGTTCGAATATTATTAACGAAAGAAATTATTGCTAGGTACAAGGCGGATTTAAAAATTCAGGTACAATGGGTCGCTGGTTGCACGATTAACGGTGCGTTAGAAATTGCCTCGAAAGTTGAATCTGGCAATTAGATTTCTTGGAAACATTGTTGCAAGGCAGGGGAGCCGTAGACCGAATCACGTAACGATCGTCTGTTACTAAATCGCGTTCAGAAATCATAATTCACGTGCTACCACTCGAGATCGATATAAGAAACACTATACTATAATTTATACACATAAAAGTTAATTGATAACATTGCAGAACTTTGGAGTTGAAAAATATTTTTATTTCTTTACGAATGTTTTATCTCAGATCTACAAAATAATATTGGACATCCAGTTTTTGTTTACAATCAGTATTATCATGATGAAAGTTATAAAAAGATCGTGGAGTTTAAAATCAGGATCGAAGGGTTGAAGTTTTTGACACGCGAATAGAAATTAATTGGCCTAGCACACACATTCTCGCGCAAATATACGTGATTCGTAGGAATGGTTGAAAAGTGTGACGGCCTTGAGGAACAAATTAGCGGGTTACAAAGAAATGGAAAGCCGTAAAATAACCACGAAAGTCTCGCGTCAAAGATTGGCGGGAGCATTGGGATAACCAATTGTGTAACAGCGACGTATTAACGCGACACTAATTGAGCGACCTCTTGCTTATGTATATATAATAGTTATCGCTGGGTTACGCGCAAATAACAAGGCCGTGAACGAGCTAGAACGTAACTTGAAATTCCTCTTTATCGAACGATCACCTGTCGAAAGAGCGCGACCATTTTCTATATTATTAGGTGATTCCTAATTAGACGATCAAACTGTCCGAATACTTTCTACGAGTAGAATTATACGACGAACATGTTACAAAACATAGAAACAAAAATGCTTTTTTTAAAAAGTTATAAAAAAAAATGTTCGTAACAAAGTAAACGCTTGTGGTACAAAATAACAAAATATTCACGTGCCTTTATAATAATAGCATAATTAAAAATTATATTATTATTATAAAGGCACGTGAATATTTTGTTGAATTTACCCTTGCATCTCGAAACATCTGATACCTTCAGCAATATAAATGGATGCATTTATTTATCATCAAACGAACGAACAGTTAGAAAAACAGGAAGCTCTCAGACATCCGACAGAATTTATGTTACACGGAAGTGAAACCACATACTGAACTGATTTTTCGCTCATAAATTTTACGAGAAGATTTAAAAGATTTAATTTGTAAGTCAATCGCCGATGTCTTCCTGAATATTTCTTGTTTATTTCAGAGTGTATTATCAATTTCTAAGATCCTGATTACCTTTATTAATATCTAACTGTGATTGATATAGTGTCGGAAAAATAGCAACGATGAAATTTCACCTAATCGCCTCTCAGATTGTCACAACTCGGTTCCCTGTTTATTACAATCTGAGAAATAGTATTATTTTTTTATTAAAGTTTTAATTAATTCGCTTTGACCATCGACGATTTATTATAATCGATTTGCGAAAACTAAATTGGCATTTAAAGAAGGTTTAAGATTTTTATTCGTACTATCTTACCGCAAATAATGCAATAATTTGGATTGCGAAGTTCTTATATGGAATGGAAATCCTTTCTCTTGCATTTCGGCCGTAAATGTAAATTCATTTGAAACATTTCAAGGATATTCTAGTTTCCCAGAACTGTAACGACATTTAAACTGCTGATGCTAATATACTATGCTATATATTAAACTTCGTGAAGTTTTTAAATATACAGATATGTGCTAGCACTACTTATACAGAACCGAAAGGAATTAATATTCACAGAATTGAAAATATGGGTTACAGCAATGTATTAACCAGTAATTCTAAATGTGTAGGCCACCGTTAAGAAATCATGATAAAATAGAGGTAAAATGAAGGCTACAACCCACCCCAACAAATTTATTATCTCAATTTTAACACTAGAATTACCAAAGTAAAATACATTACTTACTCACCTGGATTTTTAAAAATGTACCATAATTTTCTATAAGGGAATGAATAAACATTTACTTCCATTGCATTATACATTTCTTCAAGTGTCTACCGTTTTAATTTCTTTGTCACAAATAAATACATCATAATTGACGGTAGTTCTAGTGCTAATGACTTCAAGCAATTTTTTTATTAGCCGACAAATCCTCAACAGGCATCAAAACTTTAATATTTCTATTACAATTTCTAGGGATGGGAAAATCGTTAGCCTGTCTCTTCAAGCTCCACCACTGCACGCGTATTTTAATTGTAGCAGAACTGTAGCAACGCGTATCGACTCGAGGTACAACGTATCGTATGATAAGAATTTCTTAATCGCGATAAACCGTCAACTTCGATCCGTATCATTGATCGGAAGTTATTTCCCAAAGGCTTTGAACGAGCTCGATCAGACTTTCCTGGTAGCTGAGGCTGCACCCTATTGCTCGCTACGCTGATTCATGCGCGTTTTGTGAAACAGTCTCTTTCGCAACGGCAATTTCAATAAAGTATCGCGGCTACGAAAACAACGTTTTCGAAAGGAAATCCCGTAGCGTGTCGTCGCACTTAACGCACGTGAAAACGAGGCGATGGAAGATACCGGATGTGAAACTCGAAATTACGAGCCGGTTGTCTGGCTGCTCGTCTCGTTATCGCGCCTGACAACGGAACGACACGGACATTCGCACCTGTGTCCCCGTGCCGTGGACGAAACAAGTAGATCTTCCGACCGATTGACGTGCAACCTTGATGAATTTCCCTCGTAAAGCTTTCCTCGTTTTTACGCGACGAAATATGGCGCGTAGTGAAAGGTATCGAAATTATTTACGCTTCACGTGCTTCCGCGCGATGTGAAAACATTCTGGGGAAAATTCGGTCTAAAACTCGGACACAGGTTTTATTTTTTTCATTTAACATCATATTCTCGGTTTTTATTTCTGAAAACAATTGTAAAATTTGTTGAACATTGCAATTATATCCTACACGAATCGTGTCAAGATTTACATTTTAATTGCAATAAATGTTTAAGTTGTCCGAATTGTGCTACATGAAGAATTCTCTATAGTGCTCCCCTTGGAATGTGACGTTCTCTGCTTTAGAAAACACTACATTATGGCAATGAAGTATTCCGTTTAGGGAAATGGTTTCGTAAATGTGTTTTCCTTGAGATTTGCACGTCGTAGTGAATGGTGCTCGAGATAATTGACAGTTCTAAAGATTGTTTGGGCTAAAGAATGCAAATGTTCAGTGAACGTCCTGTGGCACTAAGTGTAGAGTATTTTTATATTCCTATTATCTAAAATGTGTTATTTGGTCTTGCTAGTAACTAAATTTTGTAAGTTATATAGAAGAAAAATTATAGAACGTTCCTTTAAGAATATTATTTTAACGAGTAGTCACACCTCTGAAATATCCATGCAGTAGCATCGTCAAAGTTCAATTTTCAATTTATATTTTATATAATGATTCTTGATTAAAATTATTGCAATGCAAAAGAATCTTGACAATCTGAACGCTTGAAAAATGATTTGAATTAGCCATCGTGAAGCGTAATGAATAATTACTGAAAGGTTTTTATGGAACAGTAGTACTTCTTAACAGCAGTTAATAATTTCGATCCCACAATGTCCACGTGCATAATTTAATCAGACCACAGTGTTCACAAAATTCAATTACCGTAACGATTATGACAGTTACAAAACTACTGCCTCTGGTAATTACTACTATTACTAATCACTACATAGTAGACCAACCATCTTACGTAACACAACCATCAGCCGTCAATGGTCGTTAAGAAAGTTGCTGTATACATTTACTTGCTTTTTAGTGGTTTCCGGCTTCATAACGCGAATCGAAATGGCCAATTTTTCGGTGTTTACTTTACGTCTTTCTGCCTTAATATTTCACAATTAAGGAAAAAGCGAGACGAGAATTCATTACTTATGCTGGTAACAAATGGTCTAAAAACACCTCTCCCAAAATAGATTCGAAGATAAGTGAACATAAGTTAACGTGAACACAAGAGGTATAGAAAATATAATTCGAATAATCAAACTTGAAACAAATCGAAGATAAAATTATTTTATATAAATTATACCGACGATCGAATTTTAAGAGTACAGTAATGAAATGGAAAGTAAATTGTCTAGGGTGCGTAGAAAACAATGGAAAATTTGTAAGCCTCGCAGTAGCCGTTGATTATGCGTTACAGGAACTGTTTAACGCATTTAGAATATGAGATTCAGTGTCGCTTGTGGAAATCGTCGTCGCAGACGGTAGCCATCGATGTTAAAAGCCATTAAGAAAGTGTGGTTTCAGTGTGTCCTCGCGTGCAATGTGCTCATCAAATGCTTTCCGTTGCCGTTGTAACGCCAGAAAACCGCAAGCACATGCATCGAAACTAACTGAACGGTACCCGTGAGGCCATTGACGATCTATTCTCCCTTGTAATGTAGTCGCGACTACTTAACTTGTACCCACCAGTCTAACCCCTATTTGCATTGCAGCGACTTTCTAACAATACCGCGTGTCTTCATCTTCATCTCGCCTATACTTTGCATTAACATGTGTACCAAACCGTCGTAAACTTCGTGTAACGAATCATAAAGAAAAATGCGTTCAATCGTTGTGCTTCCGATTGCAATTTAACATTCGAGCGATTTCGCTGTCGATCCATTCGTTGGAGTACCGCTTTCAAGTGACAATTTTTAGCCCGGATTCAAATTACAAAATCCACCCATCAATCTTTATAGCAGTGGAATAAATTATTATTAGACTGATGACTAACAATAAGTTGTCATTAAAATAATATTCTAGAATTAACACCAATCCCTTAGAACGAGTTCGACAAATTTTTCACCGTGTTCCTCGATGTTACGCTTTCTGTGGTCACGTTTACCGTAATCATGGACCAAATTATATTCCCGCGACTGTGAGACGAAAGAAAGTAGCCTCTCGCGTTACTGGCCAGCCTTCATTCCGAGCGAACACCCGACAGTTCGGAATAAAATCAAACAGTCCGGAGATCTGTATCGTAGTCAGTTAATTAAAACCGTTTCTTCGTACGCAAGAATTTCTAGCATTTGGTATTTAGAAAAAACAGGACGTAAGAACGAACATTCGCATGCTCTGGGTTTATCGGTTGTGCGTTTCGAAAGATGCACAGTGAAAGGTAACGCGTACCTTAATCATGCATAGTAATTCTACCTTTTTCGGTCGATGATAAATGACAAGCATCGAAAGAACAATATCGAAAATAGGCGAACTTTTCTAGTAATTAGAAACCAAATGTTCTTTTACTATTCGATTATTTGAATAATATTTATTCAATGGTGGGCATGAGGGGTGACTGCAAGTTCTTGATCACCTCTCCTATTGACTAAAACGATCTATTATTTAAATTTTAATCGCTTCCAGCAATTTCTTTATTCGTTAACAAAATGAACATTCATTGAAACTTTAATATTTCCAAACCTGGAATTTTTTCATGGTCAGCAAAATTGCTATCCTCCGTTAAACTATTTATGATTTTCTCAAACATTCATGTTTTTTGTTTTCAGGTAACGATGGCGGGAGATTACATTTTGGCAGTCGCGTCGATTATGATAGCCCAGCTTCGAAATGACAACGTCACTCTTACCCTCAGTCAGGTAAAGTTCGTAACACTTATTCACGAGTTCATCTTCGTACGAAGATAAATCACCTAACTTGACTATTTTAACGTACAAACGTGTTGATGAATACGAATTATACAAAACAGTTATAGAAATGAAGAAATTAGTTGTACTCGAAAAAAACAAAGAGAATAGTATCATTATAAATGATTAAATGGAGTAAGCAATAACGAAGGAACTTCCATTTCCGTTCAAGTGACGATGCATGAAATTTTGAATTTTCTTATTAATATATCGATTCGTTTTAAATTTGTACACGTGTTTGTTCTTAATTCCACGCGCGCGAAAAAGTATCCACGTGCTCTAGGACCCTGATATAATCCTGATGATAAGTATTGACCAGTCCAGGTGCTTTCCAGGTCGTGACGGACCTGGTGCAGGGTGAATTTATGCAGCTCGGCTCTAAGGAAACAGAAAACGAAAGATTCGCGCATTACCTCACGAAAACATATCGCAAGACGGCCAGTTTGATCGCCAATTCTTTGAAATCTGTAAGTCGCCGCCAATCTTGATGACACGGCTTGATTTGGATCTGCATTGAAAAATTTGTTTTGTCGCAGGTGGCCATGTTAGGGGGTGCTGACGATCAATTGGCAGAATTAGCTTTCCAGTATGGTAGAAATATTGGTTTGGCATTTCAATTAGTTGACGATCTTTTGGATTTCGTGTCGTCTTTGGCGGCAATGGGTAAACCTACTGCGGCTGACCTCAAGCTGGGCCTTGCAACTGCTCCGGTTCTTTTCGCGTGTGAACGGGTAAGTACAAGTACAGTAACCGCTAAAAGAATTTGTAAAGAGTGTCCAAAGTTTATACGACACGAAACCCTGACCAACATTGAAATAATTTTTGTCCAAAATTCTGTTTATTAAATCTGAATTTTATCCTAGGACAATTCCATTTCTCCAATACAACGTAGGATATAAGAAATACAAGTGAAATTTTTGTAGATGTTCAAACGTGTCAAGTAGAATATATTAAATAGGAAATTAACAATAAAATTACATAGAAAATTTAACTAAACAGTTACATGTCAATTTTAACTTACGATTTGTCTCGTAAGAATCTTGTTGATTTCCTTATTAATATTTCTACCATAATTGTTTGCCTTCGTTCGTTACAGTTTCCAGAATTAAACGCGATGATCATGCGCCGGTTTCAAGAGCCAGGAGACGTTGAAAAAGCTTTTGAACTCGTACACAAATCACAAGGTCTCGATCAAACGAGATTTTTAGCTCGAAAACATTGCGTGGAGGCCGCCAAGCTCGCGCAATCCTTAGCCGAAAGCCCATACCAAAAAGGTCTGCAAGTAGTCTGCGATTTAGTATTGAATCGTATGAAGTAGCGACGTGAGAAGTTATGTCTCCATCTATGAAAGAAAAACGAATGACGTAGTCGTGAAGAATTAATATTGGCATCGGTTCTGACTAGTGCCAATTAAAAATTGCATCGAACGAAATGTAACGTACCTTCGACAGGTTGCACGAGTTAAAAAGCAAGGACGAATGCAAGAGAGTCAAAGGTATTTTTTCTGTTAACACCTGTTGTACATTAAAAACTCGTGACGAATGATGTTCGATCGATTACCATCGAAAGTACTTGAAGTTCTGTTTTAACTTGTATGTTTGTTACATAGAAGTTGTAGATGTTTGTCGCTACGGGATTGTTAAAGAAGAGTTAATTCGATAAAATCGAAAGATCGGTAGGGAATTATTTTTATAAATTATATCGTAATTGTATGCGTAACACAAAGAGAAACGCATAATTTTATGATGATCATTGAAAATATTGACGTGCAAGTGGTGTTATTATGAAATTTTTGAACTTATAATCGTTTCGAATTTTTTTTAACGTTTCTTTCTTGTTAGCAAACTGAATTCAAGTTTTGATTCAAGTCTGAATTTAGACACCAAGTGCCTAGATATATTTTCCAAGAGAGAGAGACGCACTATATAAAAAAAGATAAAAATGTAAAAAACGAGCGGTAATGTTTACTTCGCTCCATAGCACACATATTACCTGATTTTTATCGATACTGTCAATCGTAAGTGTAAATAAAATAAAGTGTAGAGTAGTTATATTATATTAGAATTGGTAACTCTTCCTGATTGTTCTCTTCGCGATTTTTATATTACGAATAAATAAACTTTTTGATCTAACTGTTTTACAATGAATTAACTTAGTTCTATTTTTAGAAATTACATAGATGAATATTAAAAAGAAAAAAATTTGCATAATCATGTAACTTCGCGCAATAATGGTCTTAACCAATTACATTAATGAATATCTTTTTGTTTAAAAAGAGAACAAATTTTTTTTTATTTAAAAGATAAAAATAATAATTATATTACTATTTGTTAATTATGTGAGTATTGTTTACACACGTAATATTTTCAAGAACAACAATCGCAAGGGTACCAGTACTAATCGACAGCATAATTTAATGTTTTCTTTAAAACGTGCGAAGAACGCCTACCAAAGAAGACTTTATGGTCTTGATTCTTCCACTAATGTTGCGAAAATTAATTTTGGCTTGTCGAATGTAATAAGAAATATAAAAAATTGGCATGTTATATACCATTGGAACAATTAGGTTTTTGTATTTTCAGAAAATTATTAATATTATTTTTATTCGAAAGGTGTCTAATAAAGTGGAGTACCATCTTCCATAACCTATTATATTCATGTTGAATAGAAAACCTGCTCAAAATATTATTTGCTACATAACTGAACATATAGGTATAAATGTATAATAACTTTTATTTATAACATGAATTAATGTATATAATTGCTCTGTAAGGTAACACAAATCACTGTTGTAAGATTATTAATAAAAAAACATGCAAACATGTAATTACGATCAAATATAGATTTATGTTAGGTTAAGGATATCCAATTGGGACAGAGAAAAGAAGGTATGTAAATGAAGCTCTCGATCTCGTACTCATACGCAAATTATTATTTATAATTCATGTGACCTGCCTATATTTTATCGAGAATTGAATTATTACAAATTGTCATTGAAAAACAGCTTACATACATAATTTATTTATAACCCCAATTACTGAAGTAAAATATTAGTTTATCGATTAAACACAAATACATTTAACATTTATCCCATAATGCTGATATTAATAGAGAAATAAAATGTTTTTCACATGTAAATATCGTATATTGTATATATACGATCCTTTGTAAGCAAATTCTGGATACATAATCTTCAGTGTTTATAATAAAAAAGAATTACAAAATTATAGAATTGAAACCGAATATCTTTAACTTAGATCGATTAGCTTCATTATTACTAAATTGTAAACCATAAGGTTTAGTATCTTATTTGTTGTGTTGGGGATTACTAAATCCATGTTATATAATTTTTTTTTAATATAAACGTTACATTTAAATTCAAAACGTCTTATTTCTTTTAAACTTATCATGGAACGTAGAATTCAAAAATATTTATTGAATGCATGAATCGTAATTATATCTATTTATTTATTGGTAACAGGAAATTATTTACTATATAAGAAAGTATATTACATAAAATATTAAACTAATAAGACGTTGACAAGCAAAGACCCAGCAATTCGAACAATAAAGATGCGTTTCGATGATTCTATAAAAGAAAAAAAGTAGGACGTCGCCGCTAAGAAGAAGCGAGACGAGAAAGAAATCGTGCGCCTGAGGAGATAGACGTTTAGAAAGCTCAACCGATTCGCAGATACAAATTAGGCTTGTCAGGAATACGGAAACGTTCATTTCGTTTAAGTAGTGTCGTATAGATACACGGAATACAATTTCAAAATATCATATTAACGCGTTACGGTTCGAAATACTTTTCGTAGAAGCAATAGTGGACCTCTATGTATTAATAAATTACATTTCATATGTTTAATACTATTTTGCAGGCAAATAAATAACTTTATAATATAGTCATTAATTAGATAGCAAATAATATGAGCTAATGGCTGCAATGTTCCTCGTCTAGTTTAGTATAAATACAGCTTCTTCATTAAATCCAAAACGATCAATACTTGGAACTCCCACCACATTTAATTGTAACTCTTACAGTCGATAGCGTTATAGATTAATTTCATTTCCATTAATCCGTACAGTTTTTATTCTGTTAATAAACAAAAGAATTTCCATAATTTCATTTGCTACCATAATAAGCGCTATGATCTCTTTCTATAACCTGTTGGTAATATTGACACGGAAATGATAATGGGGCTCTAGAGCCCCAAAGAAATAGGCCGAAAAAATACATTGGATACTTATTGATCTACTTACATATTTCGTCTGTGCTATTTGTTGAACTTCAAAAAGTTATTGAATATTGATATTGTAGACACTTCTTACACGTTGGAGAGATTGTAGATGTCGCACTCTATCCATCTCAAGTTAAATGGAAACTAGATGAAAATAAGCGCCAAACATACGTTCTGTGCTTGTCATTTCAGCTACTCCGAAACAAAACTTATCAGTATTTTATAAAAAATTAAAAAAAAAATTAAAAACTATGGCAAGTTTGTTAGATCTCTGTGAACAGTACTTTGGTGCACGCGATTTTTATGAAGTTTTAAAAATTTCAAGAACTGCAAACGATAAACAAGGTAGGCGTTCATAACCTGTATGTACGAGTTACTTTTACTGGATTTAATTTTAATGTATTGCATCTATTAATTGCAATAACTGTTGTACAGTAATCTTACAATATCTTTTATGTTATTAGTGAAAAAGGCATACCACCAACTATCTTTACTTGTTCATCCGGATCGTGTTGAAGAAGACATCAAAACAGAAGCAACAGAAAAATTCAAAGTCCTTGGACGAATTCATTCAATTCTCAGTGATAATGAGAAGCGCAAGATTTATGATCAATCTGGCCAATATGACGAAGAAAGTGAAGAGGTTATGATGAGAAATTGGGATGATTATTGGAAAACATTATTCAAGAAAATAACAGTAGAGGACATTAATAATTATGAAAAGAATTACAAAGGATCCGAGACAGAAATTAAAGATTTGAAACGTGCTTACATGGATAGTAAGTAAATTAATTTTTTTATAATTATTATTCAGTAAACAGAGCAGATATATAGAGTTTAATGACTTTTGTAGGCGAAGGAGATATGGACTACATTTTGGAATCGGTTCCATTTACTAACTGTGATGATGAACCAAGGTTACATAATATTATTCAAAATCTCATAGACAAGGGTGAAGTACCGGAATACACTGCCTTTACCCAAGAAAATGATAAGAAGAAACAACGTAGGAAGCGTAAGGTAAGTGATAGTCCTAGAGTCACAGTAAAACTGTTATTTAGAAAATTGTTTCGTATTGTTTGCAAATCCTACCACAAATAGTACAGTTTTCTTGAATTTGTGTAACTGTTTGCATTACAAATTTTTAATCCAATACATTACTGATGACCGGCATTTCGAATTTACAATGATCGTTTACAATGATTACTAATATTTGTAAAATTTTCAATAAAACTAGTGTCATTGGAAATAATTCGAATAATTTCTCTCACTAAAAATCAGCGTCAAAAAAGTGGGATTATTTAGTATGCTCGACATTAAATGTTTTTATCGTATGTTTCCCCTAATTTTACAACATTGAATATAAGAAAGGTATCGAAAGTGCACAGACGGCGATGGACTCGTAAATTCGATAGTAATTTCTCCCCTACCCTTGCGTCTGCTACATATCGCTTCGGAGATCTGATGAGCAAGCGTGCTGTGCGCTACGCTAAAGCTTCTCTATTTTTATCAATAGATAGTACTGCCTCATGATTGGAAGTAGTAGTAGGAGGCGGACTTATAGTACGAAGAGCAGAGGAGGGGGAATGCTAGTAAATAAGTATGGAGGGAACGCAAGAGCGGATTCAGTCTACAGAACAATTAGACCGGGTCTAGCCCACTGCTAGACGCACTGTAATTTTCGGCTAAAATCCCTACCACAATGACTGTAAACCATTGAGTTAGTTGGAGGATGTGCGTACAATAATGATACCTGCATGCCACGATAATATCGTAATAAAGAAATTTTACAATTGATTGCGCGATTTTAATAATAATTGAACGATCCGATGATTAAAATGGGTGCCATTGTCGGACTGTTGCTATTGACTCTTTTGTGTGCCAGTGTCGGTAGAGTGCAAGGCGAGTGCAGATACGTGGAGAACAAGGATATGGTAGAGTACTCGTGCGTAGGTGGTCAGCTCTCCGATTTGAACGACCTTCCGAAATCTGTTGGAAAGATTCTCATTACAGACATGCCAATTTCTCTGATAACTAGAGACACGTTCTCAAGGTTTCGCTCCAATCTCTGGGTCCTCGGTTTGTCCCATTGTGGGGTAACTGATATCGAGCCGGACGCTTTTCGACATTTCTCGGATCTCCAGCAACTGAGTTTGGAGAACAATCACTTGACCACCGTCAAGGAATCTTGGTTCAGGGGCTTGAATTATTTAACGTACTTGGACTTGAATTACAACCAAATACGCACCATCGAGGACGGTGTGTTCAAAATGTTGCCCAGCCTCATAGAGCTGAGGCTCTCTGGTAACCGTCTGGAATGCTTGAATATCAAGGCTATGTCGCATATAAAGGATCTGAGGAGAATATTCCTCACCGAAAACACAGAGTTCAAGTGTCCCAACGCTGTAAGCACCTACCTCGAGAGCCGCGGGGTGCTCTTCGAAAGGGACCCTGAATGGAATAAAATACCCGACGACTTGATCGAGGTGGAAGCCCCGATCGAGTACAGTATCGAATACGAGGATGTCACTTCGGCTCCAACAACGCCGTTACCCACGCATCGAGAAAGACTGCATCCCACGCCACGGACACCGCGTCCCTCCATGGAATCGACGCCATCTTATCCACTGCCGAGGTTCCACACTACCGAAGAAGTCGTCTATCGTCCGGATTGGAGAACCGTAACTCCGGATTGGAGAACCATGCAAAGACCATCGACGATCTCCTACGAAGACGTTCAACAGCATACAACGATGAGACCACCGTACGACCCGAACAGTGTCTACGTTCCCCAAAGAGTTGTTCCACCTGTCGATACAACAACGGGTTCGCCACCCGACGTGAGACAGTACGACAACTTGGAACCAACCTGGAGACCTTGGCCCAGATTCCCAGAAACCACCAGCGCCACGTCCGAATTCCCGCTTTATCCGTCCCGTGAAAACGAGGACAGACGTTTCAAGCAACCGTATTATCTGAGCGAAACTACAAACCTGCCCCCATTGGCACCTGGCCCGGAAGATCGTCACGAAACGCCACCTTTCGTGGAATCTAATATCGATCACACCGCCTGGCCCGACTACAGACCCCCAGAGTATAGGTCCCCGCCAACGGTCGCCCCAGCGTTTACGGTCAACGTTCGACCTATGTCGCCAACGTCGCCAGAAATTAATCAATCGGTTTGGCCAGCTCCTCAGGATCGCTCGATGTCTTTAGAGAACAGTACACCTAACCAAGGAGTAGCCGCAACGGGAGTCCCGCCAATTGAGACGACCACCGACAAACCATTACCTCATTGTCCGAACAAGAATCTATCCTCGTCGTTGGAACGGTCGTTCGTCGTGCTGGTCGCCTCGGTTCTCCTGGTTTTCCTGGAGCATGTCTTTGTGGAGGGATTTTAGCTAAAAATTTTTGTTTAAGTTCACGTTAACGATAATAATTCTTCATCGACGAAATCACCTCGTTAGCGCGAATCTGCACGGGCATTTACGTTTAACGTTGTAACACGAATCGCGGTGCTAATGGAACGTTGACTGACGCTTATTGAAACGATTGATCGCGGTAATCCGAGTGGGTGATTGAAGTGCAGCTGGTTTCATCGTCTTCGATCATCTTTGATCGCGAACCAATCTTCATCCAGTATTGGTTATCCGGATACCACAGAGCCTGCAATATACACAATGTACGTATATGTACCGACCTATAAGAGGTCATGACCCGGGTCAGTGTTTTTCGTATGGGGAACTGAACGTAAAATGTAGAGTATAATTTTGGGATATTTGTTGGTCAAAGTATTTACTTAAAAAATTGTTTTAGACATTTATGTGTGCTTTGCCTAATGTTCAGATGATTTTTAACTATCACGGTAGCTTGAAACGCCCGGTGTGAGCGTCTGAACTATAATAACATCCGAAAAGTTTGGGGTTCGAATGTTTCAGCTGACAGACATTTGTAATTACATTGACAATAAATTTTATAAATACGAAGAAAGATAGGAAAATTTAATTTTAATAAATATATTACTTTAATTTCTAGCAGTATAATAATAATAACAGCTACACTGTTGTTAAGTCTAACTTATAATCATATAGAGCTGTGATTTCTAAACTAGGGGTGCCTTACAGTTTATTGTTGGAAAGTGTGAATAATTTAAACACATATTTCTATATTGATTTAACAGCTGTAAGAATATATTTGGTATAGAGAATAATTACGAATTAAATAAAGAAAGAGAAAAAATTGTTTTATAGCTTAAGTTGTGTGAAGATTTACGAACGTGCGTTATTCGAGATGAAAGTTTTAGCCGCACGTTTAAATATGAACACGTAACAGATTAATATAGAGTAAGGTGCAGTATATGAAGAATGCATATCAACTAGTGAGACTAATTTAATTGCATTCCATAGATCGTTTTACCGTAACGATGTAGCGGTAATTACGCAGTCTTCTTCCAAGCAATCACATGGGTCAGTCTTATGAAAATTTCATTTTATTGCCTTTTTGTCGATAAAATACACTGTATAATAAATTCTTCTTGTCAATAACAGTTTGATAATTAATTAAGAATACTTATAGATTTATAAGAATTTATTACTTTCAACTGTTGGTAGTCGTAATCTACATAATAATAGCACAGGGATATAAATAAATATACATATCTTGAGCAACAGCGTGAATATTAAATTCACAACTGTAAAATCAAGTAAAAAGAGGGTACAAATTAACACTAGAACTACCAAAGCAGTCAAAATGACCCATTCATAATTTTCAATAAAATTTGTAAAAAATTTACTCGACTGAATTTCTGAAAATTTACATTGCATTATACATTTCTTCGCGTATCTATCGTTTTAATTTCTTTGGTACAAATAAATACACTATAATTGTCGGTAGTTCTAGTGTTAAACTGCTGTTAGACAGGATTTGAACCTCAGCCACTGGACTGATAGTTCAGATACTCACACCACATTATGGCGATCGAACATCAAAAGTAGTATTTCTAAAAATTTACTTTCGAGAAAAATTTTTAGCAAATCTGCTATGATAGTTATAATATATTCTGTTATTATTTTAGTAGAAATACATCTAGTAATTTGAGCATAACTATTCTAGTCAAACGAAATAAGCAAATGAAAGGGTATTTGATAAGGAAATAAAACAAAACCGATTTTTTATTAAGGTTTTAGAGTAGAATAATTCCTTAACTGCACGAATTAAACATTCTCCACGTAAAATCACAATCTTTCCGTGAAACGTACGGCCATCGTAGCGTCGAATCATAGTGTTAGGGATTAAGAAGAGGGTGGGGTATGAACTATAGCTACTCCATTGGTTAAGTGGACAGAAACGGCGATTTTTTTCTAAAAACAGTTTACTCGCTAAACACATTTGAAGTTCGGTTCCGCCCAGAAGGCGCGCGCGTTCAGGGTTGCGACCCTCGTCGGTTCGAACCAGTAATTAATTAACCAAGTCCATAAATTCGCGAGATCGTTGATAAGAACGCGGCAGAACGTTGTGCAACGTTGTTTGCGAATTAGAGGAGCGCCGAATACGATTTATGCGACAGCGCGATGCTGAATATCAATTGAAAGTAACAAGCAACGAGGGCCGCGATGTATCCGGCGTGGTAATGAAATAATTACTAATGTCGTCCAATCTAATGGGTGTTATGTAACGACCTTGACCAGCGCATCTGATCAAGATACCCTGGTTTCTGCGATACTGCGTTTTGTCAGCTAAACCGAACAGAAACGTACGAATGCGCGCGCATCGAAATTGTCCGATGTCAAGTTCGCGGGGCTTTTCGTGTTCCCGCCCCGGCAACAGGTGTACCATTTTCATCAGGCGCCCATACCAACTGTAAATAGCAGGCAGGAATTCGAACGACCTCGCGGGAGTCTCGAAGCGCACCGATTTAAGTTCGTTCTAGGTTTGGGACCACAGCGTGACACACATTTACACCTTTTTTTATTATAACTCTCACATTTTGTAATAAAAATTAAATTTTATACGATAGTGGCGCACAGAGTAAACGAATCTTTTACTGCTGTATTTTCTTACCTAAAAATATTTGTACAGTTCGATAAGAATGTACTATAGTCGAGGAAGCAGAAATGTTCTTTAATCACGAAAGGACTTGTTGCTCGAATAATTACAAGAATATTAAATGGTGTCAATTTTATACAGAACTTAATCGATCGTTTATAACGCGACATTTTGTTGTATGATTCTCGACCATCCTTCGAGTAATTTAAATATTTCTTTACAATAAAACTCGTCGCTTTATTCATTAACGAAAATCCAGATTGCGTGCACGTTTATTTCTTCGGTGTTTCTGGACGATTTTCCCATCGAGAGAATTATTCAATGTACGGAATAAGTAAAAATCTGGTCGAGGAATTCCAACCAAGATGTAACAATTCTTGTTCGGTCGTTAAACATATATGTATAGGGTGGTGGAAAACAATTCCTTTTCTAAATACGAGTGACGGCCATCTTGGTGTTGAACTTAACCTAAAAAAATATAAACGATAATCAGATACGAAGCGACTGTTGGTTGTTAATAGTGAACCATAATGGAGTATCGCCTCGAAGCTTAATTCGCGCGAAATTCCACGGCGATGACACGGTACGAAGGGAATTCGTTGCGCAACAATTGCCTCGAACCCAATGGACCGTTTCAATTATTTCGTGATTCGGATGATTTCCGGAGCGTCAGGCTCGCCGCCAGATGTGTCGCTGAGTCTGGTCAGCGGGAGACGAAGTAATTCAAGGTTGCGGAAGCACATCGATCTGTCGATCTTACGCGCGTATGCACGTGTGTGCATACCATTTGCACGCAGATATTTTGGCACGTCTCTGGTTCGTAAATAGCCCGTGTTATAGAATACAAAGCACGTAACGTTATAAGGGGGACGAGGAGTCAGAAACGAAAGATAAATATCACGGAATTAGATTCGCAAGGAGAGGCTTACGGTCAGACATGAGCAAAATCTTGCTCTAATAATAGATTACCAACAAAACGAACGATTGATCAGTAATATTTTTAAACATTGTGCAATATTTCATTCTGTAATTGAAATTTTTATTCTTATTCGTCGGGAGAGGAATAAATTCCATCCCTTATTCGTTATTCGAAATTTTAGGTAATTTGCCTATAATGCAACAAAGTGTAATCTAACGATCTACGATTATGATTACAGAGTTGTTGCATCAACTTGTACAAGATGGTACGTTATAGATTCCGGTTGCTACGTATGTGCAAAATATTAGATGCAATAGATAAATAATCAAAGTAGTGTAATTTTAAAAATTATTAGTTATGGAACATTTTTTCTTTCACATACACAAAGTGTTCCCTTCGACGTAAGCATTTTTTATGTATCAATTACTTTTAAAGAGACGAGATAAAGTCAAAGGACATATTTTCTTCTTTTAATAAGTAAACTTCTCTTCAAGATCGTCATTTTCTTCATTGGAATGACATATATTAATTAACACACTGATGTAACCCGTGAAAGGAGGTAATCAATTAAATAGAATATGTTGACCTTCAAGTGACCTTCAACTATAAAAGTCAATTTCATGTAGGAAAAGAAAAAGTACAAAATTTACGTGTTTCGATGTAAATATGTACCTATTTTATTTGAAAAAGTGAGCAAATTTATTTTATTTTATTTTTGTTATTAATTGCGATTTTCCACGAAGCACAGCCTGGGAAACGTTGATATAGACTAAGAATATCAATCTTTGTCATCGAAATATCCGTGGTGCAGATGCCAGAAGTATGCAGTTTATATGTTGAGAGGTTTCTTTTGAAATCGTCATAATGATGTGTACAATGTCGAATCGTTGACATAAATGTATTAAAAATATCGAAAGTATCGTACTTGACCCAAATGTATCATAATTCTCTTAGAAACAGAGAAATATTTTTGGCAACAGCTTTTCAGGTGCCGTTAATAAATGTTGTGCAAAAATGTGTCAGTTTTTATTTTTAACGTAGGTTTCTCACCCTGATTTAATCAGGATTGCCGAATAATTATTTGGCGCTTGGCAGCTGATCGGCGACTACACTGAATATTAAATGATAAATACACGAAACAAATGATACTTTTAATTTATAAAACAAAATAAATTCTTATTTTATTCTCTTATGTCTTTTTACGTCTTGCTCCCCGAATCTGAAGAATTATACATTTCTTGTATTTATTATTTAAAATTTCTCAAGCAAAAGAATGAACTTATCTTTATTAATTTACATCAAATGTTTCAATTCAAATGGCACTTATTTTGTTATAACACTTTTTGCAAAATTAATTGTTTTTAATACGTATGTCAAGAAGGGGATGATTCTACACGAAAAAAGCAAATCGAAAATAAAAAATAAAATTCGTTTCATTTGAGGCTTTGTTTTCGAGAATGCGACATACTCTATCAGATAAAGTATGACTTGGACATTAGCGCAAGTAGAAACAGTGAGTAATGGACAGACGCGCCAGGCAAATCATACGTATATCGCATGCGTATTCGACTCAACTCATTTGTTCATGGTTGTACTACGAATACTGTCACATATTAATCACATTAATTTTTCGAATGAAGTAAATAAGTGTGACAACACAAGCAAGCAAGTAGTTTTACGTAACTTCAGTTTCATTGTGTCTTGTGAACGAATTAAAGTGTTGAAAATGCTAAAAGTATTCTCAAATCGCGAGTATACAGATATTCATTTCGTATACAATATGAAGTCAACAATAAATTCAATAGTACGCCGATGCCAAAAATGTCTCAACAAAGGCGAGCCTCACTTTGATATGTAAACATAGGTATATTCAACATCGTTTACATCACATTTCATATTTCTGTCATAACTTCTTAACAAAGCATTTATGGAGTTTTTATTATATAACATTTTAGTCTTAGTTTTACTTGTAGAACACATTGCTGAAATGTATACAGAAAATAACTTAGGAGGTTGTTTTGTAGGCCAAAATAGTAATGAGAAACAAAGATTTTATTTTTATCATATTTTAGCCCTAAACTGTTGCCCAACTGTAAATAAATACTGTGTATATTTGGTGGACTAGATTCAAATTATCAAGCACATAAATTGCTCTGTTTATGAGGTCAGCGCCCTGAACATATTTATAACACAGTTTGTATAGCAAAATATGCAGTTTAGTTACTTATCTTTCTAAAATTAGAAATATAATAAGCACCTAATATTTTCATGTGGTAACCAAGTCTTGCAAAAATAGATTGAAGTGAAAGTTCAAACTAAGTCTTTCCTTTGTGAGTGTAACGTACAATTTTTAAACCTTTTAGTATAATAATAACGTGCATCTAAAAATGATTTGATTCAGTGTATATCGTTCGTATTAATTTAAATTGTTAAAATCAATTTTTCTTGATTTATTACGATGGTGAAAGTATGTTGTCTAGTATAGAGTACTTTTTAATTATTAGGCAACTTTATTTATTCCTCCTTTGTGTTTATTTGTTTTCTTATTAACAAATCGACGACTCGGAGAATTTTAACGATATGCAGATCTCAATTCTCTATGAATTGCATGCTGGAAATAATTTACTGCCCACTAGAATCTTGTAACAGCGCGTATCTTAAACTTGGAAGTATTTATTATACGATGCTTCGTGTTTAATATGTACACCATAATATGCGACTGACTGATGCAATTCAGTTGACACTAACGATACGTCAGTAATAATTTTGCATTTATACAGCTACCACGTGGCAACAACGTATTTCTTTACGAACGGAGGTTGTCGCCGGTGGATAACTCACTTATTGATCAATCCACGTGCGGGAAAAGTTTATTACTTGGCGTTCAGATCAAACTTGCTATCTTTTATTACTTTTCGCAAGTTGAAATTACTTTACAAGTAGAATTGATCAATTTTATAAGTACAGAGTGTCGACAAAATTATAAAAACAATTGTACAAACCTAAATTTAATAAGATGTATGATACTTCTATTTAGAAATTAAATGTCAATGTCAGCTGAAGTAATTACAAGTAATTTTACATTTTATATTTTGTTGGTAAATTTTTAATTAAATATAAATGAATTTATTTGTACTGAAATTCAATACTTTGTGTTATTTTGGTTATGTTTATCAATCGATGACTAATAAAATAGCCAATCATTGCCCAACTCTTGAGACGATGTGAAACTCGTGTCGTGCAGACTCTCGGTTTTGCCCTCGTGACTCGAAAACTAATACAGCGAATAAAGATTGTCATCTCGTGACTCATGAATTAAAGAAACAGCTTACAGATGACACATCGCATATCCGTCAACAATCGATTCCTAATATTACTCTCTCGCCTTGAAAATCACCAGCATAAACAGGGCGTTCAAATGTCTTCGCGCTGAAGGGTTAATAATAGTTCCGTCGGTGCTTGACATTTGGACCGTATAGATCAAAGCTCTTTAAACTATGAATCGCGATCAAACCAGCGATTGCTACGAGGAAATTTTCTCGTTCCTCCCCCGCTCGTTATAACCAAGCTCAACTATATTTCCCCTAAAAAAGAATAAGAATATATCTAAACGTAAAATAACGAATTAGCAATCGTCAAAATTGCGCGGTAAAAAAGGAATAGATTTGTAGTAAAACCCATAGTTGATTGTTTCAGAATATTTTATTGCTAGTACGAAATATTTCGCGCGAGAAACGGATGCTCCCGAAAAGTTCGGGGAAATGTTTACGCGCGCTTTGGTCATCCTTCGCGTAAAAGAGATTTCGCTGTTCACGTTTGCCGATGATGTTCCCTATTCCTTGTGACCTACTCCATAATCCGGCGCTGAGGAAATTCCGTTATTTATAATTTCTGGCAAGTACGTCTAAGAGGCATCCTAATGTTAGGCCCGTTGCACAACGCTTCAACGAAATTCTGAATGCACCCGATTATTAGAATCACGTTCGATCGAGCAAAACAGCTTTTTCGAAGTCGAAGGATCGATACCCATCGTTCGACTGTGACTCGTTCATCCTGTTGCAATTCAGCGGCATCGAAACTTAAGCGCGATTTCAAGAACGCTGGGTCGGAGGAAAGTTTATTCTCGTTGTGTTGGCATCATTGGTATTTTCAAACAGACATGCAAAGCAATTTATCTTGTTAAACGAACGCACGGCATCTCGTGCCGAACTGTGCTCGCGGGACGATATTTCGTTGGACACGCGTGAGTGAATGCAGTTTAGTCTTTGATCTAAAAATACGATCTATAACCGTGAGTTTTTAAGGAAAGATATTCTACAAATCGTGAAACCCTCTATTAAAATTCGAACATGTAAAATATTAATGGTAAATTATATACTCGGTTAACGATTTGAATGATTTATATCAATTATTAACTTATACATAAAATAGACACAAACATTTTCTATCTATAAATCTTGGGTGTAGATATTCTCCTTTTGTAGGAGGACGTCATCCAAAATCTTTTTGTTTTTTCTTTTCATTACCATAGTAAAAGAGTTCGGAAATAAATAGCACCATTTAATAAAATTGAAATAATTTATTTGAGAAATCACAATATCTTTCTCGTCATTGGTTTCTGTACGAGCGATCCATAATTTTCTTTTCGCGAATAATGAATACACACAATGTTTAAAAACTGTATACTGTAGATTAAGATCGTTTAGTAAATCCCAAAAAAACGTAGAAGAAACACATTGTTCCACGCAGCTATATTATTTTTTTTTTTATGAAAGCACCATTTCTGCGTCTGTTCCTATATACCTATATTCCTGTATACCTATAATTCTCGAATACCTTGTTTGATACGAACTATTATTATTCAGTAAGTTATATTAACAAAAAATCTATCTTATCAACGGTGATACTTTTTATGTTTGTTAAGGTAACCATATTTTTATTGTAATATTGTAAATTGCTCGAACGAATTGTTGCTCGTTTCTAGCATACGCGTATTTGACGTTCGTGCCTCGATTTTGACGGACATGGAAATAGAAACCGGCGCGAGAATCCATTGAATCGTGGAGTCGAGCGTTTATCGTGTTTCATTATAGATCGCAAAATGATATGTTTGGCACGTTGCCTTTGTTACTTTAAACAATACGTTAAAAAAACGTCGAACGAACATAGGGCGTTGTCGAACGTCTATGGAATCTGCGAGCCCTCGTTAAAATTAACTCCTCTTAACCGACGAGTTGCGAGTTTAGGAGCCTCTGATGATAATCTGGAGGATCGGCGTATGGCTAAGATCGAAAATAGAGTTACGTGTGTCACGAATGTGGTAGTGGTAATTAATTACGTTAATAAGGGCGCCTGCGAGCTGCACAGCCGTTCGTCCTCTGATTTATCGATCTCTTCATGTTATCTGCTGGCTAATGATCGAATTCCTTCTTCATCTAGGTCAAGTGTGGTGTTAGCTTATCGGACGGAAAACAGTCTGCACGAGTTTCTACAATTTCCAATTACAATAATAGCAACCATAGACGCAATGATTTTTCATGTAATAGTTTGTATAAGTATTCTTGACACTACTGTTTGAACGATCATTATTTTCTATTGCAAAACTTGTCGTCGTACGATTATCATTGCGATTCGACGTAGAACTGTGATTACCGTTCTTAGATCATAAGAAATTAGTACAAAAGTCACTCTTGTACCGTCTATTGGCAAACATTTAAAAGTGTACATAAATTAATGTGTGAAATTCATTACATAACTTGCACGTTTAGTTTTTAAGGTATTATACATATATAACCACTGAATCGTGGACAAATATACATAAGTAAGTAAGTCATTTATACATAAAAAATTGAAAATTTTATCCCTTACTTCATCCTTTTATAATTTAAAAATTAGCCAAAAACTCTGTTACTTTTGTATAATGTTGTGTTTAAGGTTTCATGTGCTTGATCAGGACAAGAAATTATAGTCAAAGTTTTGTTGGATTTTTCCTACTACCAGCTAACATTGTTTTTTTTTTTATTTATTTACACCTCAATACTTATAAATAAATTCTTCAACGATAGAACAGGAAGTGTCATCACAATATTGACAACTATGTATCACGGATCGGTGTCGGTTAAAATTTTGTAAATAAACTAGTTTGTCCCTAAAGAGGTTCCTATAAAGGATCAGTGTATGGTACATTAGCTAATCGAGTAACGTTTTCTTTTGCAGTGGGCTAAAGAGGCACAAGAAGCTGAACGTTTAGAAAAAATGCTAAAAATCGAAAACGAGGAAAACGCAGCTGCCAACAATTTAGCACTAGTGATTCAAAGTCGCAACGAGGCTCGAGCAAGTCAGTCCGATAAATTCTTCGACTCCTTGATCGACAAATACGCAAAGAAGGCGGAAAAAGCAACAAAGAAGAAATCCTCGCCCGCAAGAACCTCAAAAACCACAAAAAAAACAAAAAAGAAGGCATAGAATAGCGCACATTTATACAGAAATGTCCCTCCACATCGGAATATCATTGCGATTTTTGTAACTTAATTATTACTTACCATAACATGCGTATCATTGTGTATAATTATTATTTTTATGAGAAAACGATCATATTTAAGTTTTGTAAATTCAACTAAATACATCGATAGTGAAATTTATTTGTAACAACGTAACTACTTAATGTTCAAATATAAATCTTGAATACACAGAATTTCGAAGTTATTGTCTGGTAAGTCCGAGAGTTCGATTTTATTTTTGGGGAATTTTTAAACAATGGAAATGGAACACGCTTTAGTATTTTGGACGATGATGCATTAATCTTTATTACCTATAACTTCTTGTCATCTTACAGGTCCTTTTTTTATTCGGTGTACAAAAGAACACCGTTTGTGACGCAAAAAAGCTGACTTCTTTTTTGACCTCATCTTTTTTATTATTATTCATTTTTTCCTTTGATACAATTTCTAAAAGCTAAAAGTAAATGATAATTACTGGGCGTAATATTACAGTCTAGATATATGAGTAGACCTTACACCTTATGGACTTTCGTGGTCCAATTTGACCGCCATACTGATGTGAAAATTCGGTGGTGATTGAATACAAAAAAAGAATTAAACAACATTTCCATAGAGCGTCAAACAAATTTTTAAGAAAAATCGACAGGGAGTAGGTGGACAAATTTTTCGTCAAAATTAAAAAATTTCGAATCGTTCTAAAAAAATTATTTTTAGCTGCAAGAGTCAATTACAATCATTTTTTGAGAATGGACATACCCCCGAAATCCTATCCACTTTCGAGAAAAACATTCGAGTAGGTGCGTAAATTTTTCGACGAAAAAAGAAAACTCCAAATCGTTCTAAAAAAGTTATTTTCAGTTGCGGAGGTCAATTACAATCACTTTAGGTGAACAGACATACCCTCAAAATCCTACGCACTTTCGAGAAAAAAATTCATTACCGAAAATCTAATTTGAGTCCAGAAATGTTACCCTGAAATTTCATGTGTTTGTTTAAAACATCATAACTCCTGAACGGATTGGACGATTTTAATGTTTCAAGAAGCAAATAACGCGTATTTTGGTGACGAATATTTAGAAATTCTAAGAATGTTTGAAAAGTGTTTATTCTATATTTGTTTTCATATTTTGTTACGAAGAACAATTTGGTACCCGCTTGCATATATCTTGCAACAACATCCTGTATTACAAAAATTCGTATACATAGAAAATTGATATTTCTTAATAATTTATCAATTTTATTTTAAATTAACGGTTTTCTATTCAACAATCGATATATAGAAGTTCTTTTTTACCATATAGTGATAATATTTCCAAGATATTTCTGTCTTACCTACAGTTTGAAGTAAGATTCCTGTAATACCATGGTAAAACATTTTCAGTGGTTCTCATTCGTCCACCTAAAAATGCATGGACAATGAAATTTATTTACACAACCGTTGATTCACATGACAAATTGCAATAATTGTACCAAGATACAGACTACGATTAAACCAAAAATACATTAGATGCTATAAAGTTACTCGTTAAAATGTAAGCAATCGGTATTGGAATAATAATTATACTTTCATCAATGTCGTTAGTTGTTAGCTCATGTGTCACGTCATTAGTCGTTTTACCACTCACCATACACTCAATATGTATATAGGAAGGAAAAAGTGAGCATGAGAAAAGAAGAAAACCCACGATAGAAAAGAGAGGGCGCTAGACTCTATATTTTCTCGCCCCTTTTAAGGTTGAACATAAAATGATGTGCAATAAACATTTCAAAATGTACAAAACCATATAAAAGTTATAATTCTGAAAACTACATGTTACGAAACGTGAAACCAATGCGAATCACTTCTAAAAGAAACATAAACCAAAACGAGATTGGAAATCTAAAGTATCAGTCCACGAAAATTTATATTAATTGATTACGAAATATCGTATTAACGATTGAGTGTTTATTCAAATTTTTACATAAGAATTTGTCTTGTAATGTCGCGAACGTAATCGCAACGTTTCGTTTTGGCGCGAATTTCGAACGTATCGTCCGTTGCGCGAGTGATCGACGGTGCAGTATCGCACAATCTTGCGAACGAATCCATCTTATTACGATCGGTCCGCGTAAACATAGGTAGCAGAACGTAAACCACCATCATTATTAACAATACGTGTTACAGGAGGCAGGGCTCATGTTCGAGAAAGAGTTGAAACACAATGGGACATTTGCAGCGCAGCTTGGAACAATATTTCCCTACCGCCGGCTAAACAGCAATTAGATCCAGCCTCGATGTTATACTTACAAAAGGCGAGTAATTCGCTGGGCAGTCGATTATTTCACTGTCGTCGATTTGATCTAAATGGAATTACGAAGCGAAACAGGAATGCCCGCGCGCGCAAAACATCCTGCAGGGAACGCTCGACCGAGCAGAAAATAAAACATTATTTCCATTAGTACCATTACTAATTCGCGGGGAAGTTAATCAAAGACGAATTTAATACTTTTGGAGCCATGCAGAATTGGAGGTTCCGGATGAAAGCGTAAGAATGGTTCAAGTGATTGCATTTTAGCGATCGATCGCGTGAAATTGTTTTAAATCGCTTAATTTTTGTAGCATCATCTTTGTTCTTTGTTTTCTTAACGGACAGCTGTTTCAATAATTATTTATTTATTTGTATCAGCAGTTTATTGTGCAGTTATGTGGGAGGAAGCAAGACCAGGTCGTGAGACAATACGGGGTTAGTATTTATTTCAGAGATAAAAAAAATTGATATATGTTTTTTTTATATTTTAGTTCTATTTACACGTTTCTTTTTAACTTTTCTTGTGAAACAGATATTCTAGAACTTTTGATAGAAAAAGTGTCATCATTAAAGTTTATGAAACAAGGTTTATTCGGATTTAGTAAAATTTAATAGAATTTTATCGATTAATAACTTTTTAACATAACATAAAAAAAAGAACTACATAAGACTATACACAAACTGTTTTTGCATGAAGAATTACCCAATTCTCGGTTGTTTTACGGTTTTTGGGGCATCCGATATATCACGATTGCTCGTTGCTGTTGATGGTGTTGGTCATAGAACCTGTTAAAAGATATATTAGTTTCTCGGTGTACGATAAATACACAGTAGCGGCACGAGACATCAACGTTCGTCAATCACAAAACAGTGACAAAATTATGTCAGGTTCGACTAAGGAGTTTTTGTCATGTAAAGTGATGTAATCAGCGAGCTATAAAGAATTCACGGTCGTAAACCATTGTGCGTGTCTCACTCAACGTTTAACTCTCTTGTGATTCGCGCGTAGTTTCTTGTTTATGGATCAATAAATCTGACGTGGCGGAGAGGAATGGAGGAATAAATGAAATCTAACATCGGCCCTGACATTTAGTGAAGTCGCACATTAGAGGCTATCGGTACAATTATAACATTTTTTCCCCCCGTCGCTTTAACTGACTCTTTCGTCGAAGTCTATTTTACTCGCGGAGCAAACAACTCAATTTGTGGCCAACAAGTGTACATCTTCACCATTTGTCATCGTTTAATGTTGCCTTTTTAATTAAACAAACTTCACATCTATTCTTTTGGTACATTTGGATATAATAATAAGTAATCAAATAAAATCGTTTGCCCAGTGCGTGTGCAACAATTTTGTAATATAAAAATATTTTATGCAAATAATTATTCCACAAATATTATACAGTGCAACAATTGCACGTTGAAGAGTGTTCTAAAATGTACCATACGACGATTGATTTGAAATTATAAATAATGGAAAAATATATCTCTCCAATTATATTAAATACATTTCTGTAAATAAAGATAGCCGAATGGAGGTTTAGGAATAAAATACCAAGAAAGTTCTCGAACCCTGAGGATTTTAATTATTCAAAAAAATATATAGATAAAAGTTCATTGAAACGTTCAGCCCAAATTTGGGTCCCAGGGGTTGGTGGTCCACGCGTTGAACAGCGGAGCTACGTTCGTAACGTCGAACGTAAACGAGCATACGCAACGAGAGTTTGGCCGAGGCAATTCCCAGGCCCGGGCCCCGAAAGATCTGCTTAAAAAGATGCACAGGAAGAGCAACAATGCTTAGCAGAGGGATCAGCGCGCCAATATTTTAAACCCCGAGCCTTCGCAGGTCCTCCTTTTCCCATATGCACTCCTAATCACGAGTCGCATCGGCAGATATAGCGTGTACCACGATGCACCCCGTTAAATCTCGGGAGGGAATCGAGAGGGAGAGACGGCGAAAAAGGGAGGAGAAGGACAGAGCTTGAAAGACGGGGTTGCAGCTACGGGACGGAAGAAGAGAGGAGATCGAGAGCCCGAGGAGGAACGGTGGAGCAACGCGAGAGGAGGTGGCGGGTCGTATCGGAGAAGGCGGAGGAGGAGATGGTGAAGGAGCAGAACAGAAGGAGAAGGGGAGAGCGACATTCCAGAAGGCGGCGGCGGCGGTGGTTCTCGTGGGAAACCAAAGAGAGAGAGAGGAGAGAGATCTCGTCTCAAGGAGAGGTTGCGAGCCTTAAGGCACCGTTCTCATCTCCCAACGCGCGACAAGACCGCGAAGACTTCTGGCTCAGGTGCTGCCGACAGTCCACGAATTTATGAATCTGCGTGGACAGTCCTCCGGGTGAGAGTTCGATCATGAACGCTCGATCCTTTTCGCGGAGGGGCCCCCGAACGAAATCTGGCTACGCCGTCCGTGGCATCGACTCCTTTCCGACCGCTGGCCAGGGCAATAGGATTTCGACGAGCGACGAGTGGAAACGCCGTGTAAAGGAAATTTGATACAGCATTGTTTCCAAACGCGTCGACGCGCACGAGTGTATTCGATACACGAACGGCAACAAATGATA